GATATGACTTTTTTGCACTGAAAATGTGTTTTAATCATCAATCACATCTTTCAAGTTTTCCCGTCCAATATTTTTTATCCAAATAAATTTCTATTATTATAGACATATATTTGCTTAAAAGTTGCATTATCAATTATTTTTGCATAAAAATTAGACAAGCAAAATTTACAATCTTAAATATCAAGGTAAAGAAATAAGATATTTAAGAAATTTTTAATTTTACGTTAAAATTGGCTCCTGGGACTTTTAGAATATATTTACTATTTTTTGACCATAGAATTGATAAAAAAAAATTAATGAATTAAATATCCCAATGCCAGCATAAAGCATTTCACTGCTCAAAATAGTTCTGTGTGTAACCATGGAAAAATATTATTTAAAATAGGCATCTTAACTTATCAGTACTGTAAATACTTCTAACGGGATAATTGATCATTTTACTCTAAAAATCCTTCCGCTTTAAAATATGGTTCCTGGCTTAGTCCTATTGGAATGAAATTTTATTGAGGTTTTTCATTAAAATTCGTTTAATTTACATAGCAGAATCCAAATTTATTGTAAGAACTTAAATTAAAATGATGCAAAGTTTTAGAAACGAAGGTTTAGACTATATGCTGCTCAAAAGCTCAGGATCGGTTCGATGTTCGATGTCCTAAAGGCGGTTCGCCTTTAGGACATTCGATCCTGTGCTTTTGAGTCGATTTTGGTCTGGACCTTTATTTCTAAAATTCTCCATCATTTTTAAGTTTTAACATTGAATTTAGATTCTACAATGCAAAATAAACTACAAGTATATCCAATGTAAAAATCGCAATTAAATTTCATTCAAGTAGGATTAAGCCAGGAACTATATTTTGTGGCGGAAAGTTTTTTAGAAGAAATTATCAATTTTAGCCTTTTGAACTATATACAGTACTGTTAATTTTAGATTCCTATTTTTCCATGCGGGTTGCACGCAAAGCTGTTTTTGCGGTGATCTTTTAAATCATTTGTTATGAATTGTTTCGACGAATTATGACAAATATAGTAAATATATTCTGAAAAACCAGGATAAATTGAGCCAATTTTAACATGAAATTGATACATTTTTAATAATATCTAAAAATTTACATCAAATTAACATCATATACCCCAACTTTTGATGCTCTTTTCTGAATATTAAAGACAACTTTACTTATTAAATTTTCAATGCCAGAAAAATCACATTCTGTGAGTGCAGAAAGGTCAAATGATTATACGAAGCAATTTTAAAGTGTCCTTTTAAAAATAATTTGTTTTGTTCCATGCTTCATTTGTGTAAAAATATTGGAGGGAAAAATTCAAAGATGTAATTTTTGATAAAGGCACAAATTTCAGTGCACAAAGGTCATATTAAATGTACCGTAGCGCAAAAAGAAGCACACTGTCACAGACCCTCATATTTTGATTTGATTTTTAATTTTAAAGCTATACTTTACAAAAAAGTTAAAGACTTTAAATATAAGGAGCCAACCTCGTTAAAAACCTAATTCACAATTTAAGAAATGAATTTTATTTATATAAAGATATAGGCATTATGCACACCTTGTTCACCCATCTTCTGATTTCATAATGATTTTTATTGCATGGTCGATTAAAACAGGATTTGTTCGTTTGTTGGTTGTTTGTTATGTGTTTAACATCCCTCTTGTCTCTCGAGAATTTTTTTTTTACTCAAATGGAGATGCCGCTTGAGGGCTGCAAATTTATTTATATACCAATATTTGGTACTCAGGGACAATGAACATTGAAAAATCTTTTTCGTGCCAACTACTGCGACACGGGACCCAGATTTCTACAGTCTCATTCGAAGAACTGGTATTAACGTCCCGCAGTGGATTCGAACCCGCGATGTAAGGATCAGCTCCTTACTCCGCGACTTAAAAGCAGACATTCAAACCACTGCGCAACGTGGGCGACAATAATCGTTTTCTTCAGTCAGAAAAATTCGCAAGACTGAACACTAAGCCTTGCTTTCATTTGCAGAATACACAACTATAACAACGAACAGTTAAATGCTCTTAGATTTATTCTGTTTACAAGTACAGCATTCTATAACTTAAAGGCTTTTTTTACTGCCGCTAGGGTTAGACATTAAGAACGATAACATGACATTATATTTTCTTCTTCATAACAACTGTCAGAGAGAATTAAAAATCTTGAATATACCGTAGTCAGATCCCTATTCACTTGATATCGTTACGTCAGGAAGCGTGAAGACTTTCTCCTTGTTTTGGTCAACCCTTTCGTGTACATAACAAAACCAGTTGAAGCAGCCTCTATGTCAGTCTTATTTACGATGACTCACAAATCTACACTTAATTGGTTGTTTTTTTTTTTACAATTGAGTTTCCTTTCCTTAAAATACCGATACAATATCGTACATCATCCTCTGCTATCGGCTCACAGTGCCTGAATGAGAAACGAACGGCAACTCTGCACGGGAGATTGTATCGTACATATCACTATTGATAATATTTAAATTCTTTTTGATGATTGAATTAAAGGTATGTGTAGGTTACAATCTTTTTTTTGAGAATTTCACATACATATAAATCGATCTATTAAATGTTTTTTAAAACTTGAAAATTAGTTGAAAGGCCTACATAATAAAATAAAGCGGGGAAGTAAACTCCAGACTTAGTCTCTTTTACAAAAGGGAGGATCAGCGGTTGTTTGCAGGTAAAATTTGCCGTGTACATTCGTATCGACATCGTAGCCCATTCTATTGCAGCCATTTCCACATGTCCTGCACTCGCCCAGTTCGAAGTCCGAGTACCCCCCTGTACAGGAGTATGCTTTAAATTCACAAAAATGGATGGACGCGATGAACAAGTACACTGCTCGGTCATGGCTGCATGCAATGTTCCTTTCAATCTCTGTGAAAAAGAAGAATATTTTAGTGTTTATAAATGTAGATTTTATTTTTAAGATTTGATGTTAATGAAATGGTGGTTATTGCGAGAACGGAGACTTCAATGTACGTACTTTTGATTTTTCCTTCAAGAAAATACTTAATGTCCTGCCACGCACCGTTCGTGCATCCAGGCTGATGACTACCCCCGTTTGGATAGAAGTCAACGTGCCCATTTGGTGTTCTGATTCCAAAAGCTATGCAATACAAAAATATGATTTAAGCCAACAAAATCAAATATTTTTTCCTCTTATGAAGTGTTTATATAATTTTTACTTACCCAATTGTTCCAGCGAGCCTCCATTGGTATGAATGACGTCAACAAAATTAGCGTCAGAGGGATCTAGTTTCACTTTGTTGTCATACTTTTCATAACAAAAGCCAGCTGGGTCTAATCCTGAAATTCAAAAGTGACATCTATATATTTATTTTTATGCGCCTGGATCGATAGATCCTAGGTGCATATTGTTTTTGTCCTGTCTGTTTGTCTGTTTATCTGTTTGTCTGTCCGTCTGTTGTCAACTTTAACCTTCGCCATAACTTTTGAACCTTGAGAGATAGAGACTTGATGTCAGGCATGCATACTCCACTAATAAAATTCTTTCAAGAGATACCAGTGTCAATGACCTTGCAACCTTGACTGTGACCTACATGCTAAAAATAGCTTTTTTCGAACTTTCGCCATAACTTTTGAACCATAGGAGATAGAGACTCCATATTTGGTATGCGTACTTCACTAATATAGTTCTTTCTAATGTCACCAGTGTCAATGACCTTATGACCTTGACTGTAACTTATATGCAAATAAAATCAGCTTTTTCGAACTTTCGCCATAACTTTTGAACCATAGGAGATGGAGACTTCATATTTGGTATGCATACTCCACTTATAAAGTTCTTTCAAGATCAATGACCTTGTGACCTTGACTGTGACCTACATGTATATGCTAAAAATAGTATTTTGGAGCTTTGTTGCCGTCGGGCGCATAGTGTTTCACAAACACATCTTGTTCAAGTTTTGTACTGAGAGAGAGAGAGAGAGAGCACTTTAATTGCTAGTATAGTTTAATCTATAATTTTTATAGATGACGGAGGGTGGTTCTATTAAAACATCCGTTAACATTTCCATTGCCACCTGGGTTGGAAACTTAAGGTATGTCACTCGTGAAATTTGTTAAATCAAGGATTTTTTGATAAGTATATTTTTGATAAGTACTCATATAGTGTAACTCAAAATCGCGCGAAAATATGGGGTCAGTGTGCACCTTACTGATCTACGGTACAATTTAGTTGACCTTTTTGCACTTAAATTTTAACTCTTTGGTTAATTACTTTAACCTTTATCATATTTTATCAGATGTAACCATGGCAATAAATATAATCTTGTTTTACGTAAAATGGTTTGAATAAAATTTATTATTGAAAAAATCTTGCAAATTAACGCGCGTTAATTTTTGTGTCACCTTTTTGCACTAAAAAGTAACATGTTTGAGAGTAATCAAAAAACTAAATGAGCAATAAAACATTTTCTTATATCAAACCTTTTACGACTTAAGTGCTGATCAGTCACAAGTATTGAGTAGTTTAAAATAATGAAAGAAAAGGTTGGGGTCAGAGTTGTTAATTTTGAAATATTGGTCAAAATATGTGATTTTCAGGCGAAAAATGGTGTAAATTTTATCTTGACTTCTTTCACATATCTTTATATTTTGGCAATTTTTGTTGAGGGAAAGTGTAAAACTTGTTCTAAAAATATAAATTAAGACCTATATTAAATATGCCTAGCAATGTCCTAACGGAAAATATTCTCCAAGTAAAAGTATGTGAGGCTAAAGTTCCACGATATTAAACTTAATAAATGTGCAGATTTGCAGAATTTTCTGTTAAATATCCTTTCCCCGAAAAGAAATAGTCCTTCATAAATCTGGCTTCTTTGTAGATTTTTGAGCAGTAAAATGAGTTTTTTCGTTGAATGTTAAAAAATTTACATTGTTGAATTTTAATATGTTATATGAATTGAATTTTAATAAATAGTTTTGAAGTAAGAGGTGCTGCGTTAACTTTTCTATTTATGACATACCCGTGATTCTGCCAATTCCCTCCACCCAGTCCCCGGCGTACCCCATGATTTGGGCACCGAGACTGTGACCGATAAGATGGACCTCTTCTACAGATAAGCTGGCGCTATCTTGTAAAGTTTTTATCATGTTTCCAATAGTGGCCCCAACCAGGCGAGTATTGGCGACGGATTGAAAGTAAAGTAATCCATCCGTGCCCTTCGACCAGTCAACAGCTATCACATTCAAGTCTCCCTAAAAGAGAATATATTTATTTTTTAAAATACTACTTATTTCTTACTACTTAAATACGAAATACGACTACTTATTGTAATATCTGTGGACAAAATCAATTTTCTTTGGACTCGTTCACTGTAAGTACCAGTTCTTAAAAAGATCTCCTTTAATTTAAGGTAAGCTCGAATAATTTGCTACAACATATTTTCTGCTCAATGGACGATGATATTGATTATGAGAACAATTCAAAAACATAAATTCAGCAGATGATAATAATACAGTTCAACAAACGCTTTGCTCGTATTATAGTCATGCTTAAATTCAAACTAATATTGAATAGATGAATATAGATTATGAATGAATTCATGGCTGTGCTTTGTCCACAGACTTACATTAGAGAATTATGAATACGTTAGAATAAGCTTTATTTTACCCATTTAAAGTTGAGAACACGTTACTAACAGATGTTACAGGGGTACTTCCGGTTTAACAGAATTGTTCAATAATAAAAGGCATGAATATGATTATTTGCTAAAAATTACCAACATTTTGTAGAAGGGCGTCTTTCATATCCAGTGGCCATCCAGATTTAGCTGTATCTTGGAATCCGTGGGTAATAAAAACTGTCGGCAGACTGGAATCAAAGTGTGAACTGGAGACGGTGTTTGTATCATAAGGATTCAGGATCTGGGCGGTATCCGTGTTTTGTCTGGTGTACAGGTTAAAGGTGGTATCAATAGTACTTGGTGACTGAGGTAATTTTAACCATGCATTGTGGAATGGCTTTGCGTTGCTGAAACACCCAACGTGTTGGTAACAAACCTTTGATTTCAACCACCACCCTAAAAAATATTTTTATGCCCCCGTAAACTAAGTTTCGGGTGTATATAGTTTTTGTCGTGTCCGTCCGTCTGTCTAGCTGTCTCTCTGCCTGTCTAACTGTCTGTTTGTTTGTCCGCAAAAACTTTAACCTAGCCCATAACTTTTGATTTAGTGAAGCTATGACTGTGTATTTCTTGTGACAAGACCTTTCTTTGGGTACCACCAAATTTGACCTTTTGACCTTGAGTCATCTTCGCTCCCCATAAAACTTTTACCGATATGCATTGTAAAACGCCGGTCAATTTTCATTGGAGAGTTGTAGCCGACCGTGGACCAATGAAATAACTGTTTTTTTAATTTACGGCCTACAACTTTTAAGAAGTTTTCGAGGAAATTCTAACGCATGTGTAAATCCGTTTTCGTTGCTATGAACACACCACGTCTGTCCGTTAAAGTATATATCGCTTCTTGTTAGAAAGAATTTAATTTTTGTATTCCATATGTTGTTTCAATGGAAGTCGCCATATTGTGTATAATTTTCTACCGAAACATACATAAAAGCTATCGTTTCATTGGCTGTTTGCTTCAACCAGAATCACGTTCTTTCTGAAGAATTTACAGATGGCGCTATATGTGACCGGCGTATTAAAATGCATATCGTCCAAGGGTTAATGGTGAGCGTTGCGGACCGAAAACCCTTGGCTAGCGAAGATGCCTTGGAGTTTGCCCCACTTATACACAAAAATTCCAAACTTTTACTTTGGTTATATTTTTTTAACAGTAGATACCAGGACGTTTATACTTTACATATGTATTCTTTGTTGAAAGAACTTTCATTGGTTATCAACAACCTTGATATTTTGACCTTGACCTTGGAGATTTCCGTACTTGTGAAAAAAACTTTAACCTTAGCCATAACTTTTGAATGCTAAGGGCTAGTGATCTGATACTTCACTTATGTAATTCTTGTGAAAATACCCTTCATTGGATACCAAGAACTTTGACCCTTTGACCTTGACCTTGGAGTTTGAGCTTCTTTTAAAAAGCAAACCTTGACCATTACTTTAAAAGAATTAGGGCTAGTGCTTTCATACTTTACATATTTAATTCTTGTGACGAGACCTTTCATTTGATACAAGACCTTTGACCTTGACCTTGGTGTTTGACCTACTTTTAAAATTTTTTAACCTTGGCCATACCTTCTGAACTGTTAGGGCTAGGGCTTCCATACTTTACATATGTATTTTTTTTTGAGGCAAGACCTTTCATTGGATACCAATGACCCTGAAAATTTCTGTACTTATGAAAAAAACTTTTACCTTGGCTTACTTTTATATTCACAATTGTATTTCCAGTGATAATACCCTAATTTTGGTACCAATATATTAAATTTGCATTTAAGAAAACTTTAATCTTTGCTATGTTGCCATTCGGAGGCATCAGTGTTTCACAAACACATCTTTTTTTTTAATCAAATACTAATATCAAGAATGTTCAAATGTAGCGATCTCGAAATTTTTACTTGTTTTAGCTTTAATTCGACACATTTTGCACAGAATATAAAAGTTTGAGATTTATTTCTCCAAAATACCATTTATTATTTTACCTTGTGTGGATGAAAGCAGGAGCAAAAATGTTATGCTTTTCAACATCGTGGGTGAATGAATGAATTTGGAACAAGTTTGTCAATGATCAGCTAAAAAGGAAATAAATGCAGTAACACCATATATAGCATTCAATAAGCATCAAGACTGGATCGATTGAAACAGATACTTATTAGTCCCCTACCAGTGAAACCGGAAGGGACATTAGGTTTTTCCTCGTCTGTTTTCCGTCCGTCTATCAATCTGTCTGTGTGTCAGTCTGCCACTTGGTTCTCCGCAATTTTTTCTACACTATGTAGATATTGAGCTGATATTTGGTAGATGAGTATATCTTGACGATTTACAGATCAAGTTTGGATTTAATTTCTTTTCAATGATTTTTGTGTGAATTGGGGCCTTATTTAATTTTTAACGGTTTTCGCTGTTTTTCGTAAACGCTTGTAGATATTTAGCTAATTTTTTGGTACGTGCATTTATATATCTTGATGAGTTAAAGTCTAGATCAAAATAATTTGCTTTATGTTCCAATTCAATGATTTTGGACGGAATTACGGCATTTTCATTTTAAATGGGAACTAAATGGGAACACTTGCTGGTAGGGGAACACCGGTAGTATTGCTTATGCATTGAATCCTGTTATTTACGCAATGATACTTTGTAGCAAGTTTGGTTGAAATTGGTCAAGTGGTTCTTGAGAAGAAGTCGAAAATTTGAAATGTTTGCAAACAGACAGACGGGCAAACAACGGACAGACAGCTAGATGGAGAGACGTACACCGTACAAAATTAGCTGCAGAACTGTAGAAATTAAGGTGAGGCGGATGACGAGAAAAGAATTGCAAGCCTTCTCTCTTTTTATATATTAGTCGAAAACGATATTTTTAAAAACAGCTTATAGAGACAAAAGAGTCGCATTATTGATAATATATATATAGTGTATAATTAGAATACAAAAATAGGAAAAGGCGACTCAACTCCAGATTTAAAAAGAAAAGAAAAAATGGAAAGGGGGGGGGGGGAGGTCCTTTCCCCAAGTGTCTGTGGTCCCAGTGACTTCGTTATAACCGATTTTTACTGTACATAAACGCTCCAGAAGGTAGATTTAATGAGAAATTTGTATTTTAAATACAAATACCTGCTGATGTTGGCTATGGTTTGGTGAACATCAAAAGTATTTGTTTTAACTACCTGTAAACTACTGATATAAGTCCTAACATGAAGTGAAGCATTATAAACTTTTAAGAACAAAAGGACAATTTCAAGACTCACCTTTCTTGTTTCTATCTCGCCTTGTCACAGTGTTGTCACATAAGAATTCAAATGAACGAATGCCATCCTTTATTGGTCTTTATAGGGACATATGATATCATATGTCCTGTTTTCCCCCAGGATTTAAACCTCTGCTGCCGCATAACGCAAGTGAGTTAATTAAGGCCAAATATGGACATTTCAATGCAAATTAGTTAATGAAAATGCTTAAGTTGTATATTTTATGCACGGAGAAAATTCAAATAGATTTTCATATTCATACATATTACAGAAAAAGTATCCACATCATGTTAAAGCTATTACACATTATGACGTCATGTTATGACGTCTTAATTCTTTCCCATTCAAGGTAAGAAAACACATTTAAAAAAACAACGTCGGCGCAAGGGCATATCCTTTTCATTTTAAAATAAAACATGTATTTTACTAAGGAGAATATTCTAAAAATCATTAAAATTGCTGCACAAATCCTGTGCACTTTCTCAATCGATAAAAAATTTAGGAAACTTACATTGGACTGAATTTTTACCTTGTTTCATCTTAAGGTAATTCTACCCTCCTATGATGTCATAGGTTTTTGTAAAAACTGTAATTAGTTTAAATCCATACCTAATAGAACAATACCTTTGGAAGAATGCTTTACAATAGGTGTAATGATAAATATTGTTAAACAAAAGAATTTTAAAAATGCATATTTTCTTTATTTAATTAATTATTCAAGTTTTAAAAAATGTTGACAAGGGCAATAACTCCTTCTACGGTCTCTTCATTCAGGCATTTGCTTTATTGTACTTCTAATGTAAAATAGTTTCCCTGATATTCACATTTCAAAAGTATTATTAGTAGGAAGTATTTAGGTACATTCAGCATCAGAATTATGCATTTTAACCATGCAGTTTTTACATATTTTTCATAATACTGTTTACAAAAAATGTGCGATTTTTTTTTTATGTTGACAAACACTTCTGTTTATTTATGTTTGACGTCTTAAATAATGTGATGATCTATACATTTTTTTTCAAAAATTGGAAAATTTAAAGCATATGAAATGAAAATAAATACAGTTTTTGTACTTTGAACCATTCAAATAGTGAGGGTGGAAACACCTTAAAACTGTTCATATAGCAACGAAACCTTTCCAGTGTCGACATATGTGCTGCAATTTCTTAAATCCTAGGAATACCCTACTTCTCTTTAAATACCTTGATTCTGGAAAACAAAGTATGGTATGCCCTTGCGCCAAAGCAATTTTGTTGATGTTCCTTGTAAACTTATGTAATACGTACATGACGTCATAATAAGACGTTATAATGTGGAATGGGTTTTAATTAGATTTTTTGCATAGAAACCTCCATACATAGCCTTAACTCACCTGCGAACATTTGGTCCGCCTTGCTTCAAGGTCCGGGGGACCTAGCTTATACCATAAGATTTCAGGTAACCTTATATCAGAAAAGGTCCGGCCCGTATAGATAGTTTTCGGAAGACCTGATTTTAGCAAAAGTTACTTCCCGTTGGCCGCCAAATTGGAGGTCGACTCGATGATCTCCCCTCTTTGTCTTACCAAGTAAAGGAGGATGTAGCAGAAATATTTGGTGGACAGTCTTTATTAAATATTTTTTAAATAATACTTCAGAAAAATAATGATTCCTACTTCAAAATAGCAAATATAAAATTTTTAAAATGGTTGAACAATGAAGGAATATGAGCCTTTGGACCTCCAGTATGGCGACCAAGGGAAATAAGTCTTGCTAAATTCTGGCCTATCGAAAACTATTTATAAGAAACCGCCTGCGTGAAAACACAAAAAATTAAGAGAAATTGAATACGTGTATTTCATATGAAAGAATAAAAATTTTCCATGTTGTGTTTATTTGGTCTTTCACCATTATCTCTAGAGCAAGATTTGATATACTATTTGTTCTATGTGCGTTTTAAGCAGTTCAATTTTGTTCAGTTGGTTATCATGATTATTTAATATGTTTACGGTGCGACCGTTAAGTTGAGTGCAGATACTTCTGTATTCATTTAGATCGTACTCGTCAAACCGCAAGTGAAATTCGGTGGCGTCTAAGACTCTGACACTCGGAGTTCCTCGTATAACTCGTACCTCGCACATAACGTAGAATGGAGCGTAGCGGAGTCAGCCGAGGATTGCCGATTGAGACTCTGACGTCAAATGATGTTGCTTGCATGTTGCTTTACCAAACCGAAGCCTGAACAGGGCTGATTTCAATCAGTTTATGACTATTTTTCTGCATTAAACAGATAAATTCATTAAATCAAGGCAGTTATATTTTTTCTTTTGACTTTTGTCGTTATTCTCACGAGAACGTGGCTTTAGCGTTTGTGTACGAAGCGATGCATTGTGGGTCAAAA